GCCAGCTCCGCCCCCCAGCACCGCCTTTAGCTCCGCCTCCTTTCCCGCTCCACCAGCTCCACAAAGGCTCCTGACAACAGGCCGGGCCGCACACTCGCCCTCGCCAAACCCAGCCCGAGCAAAGCCCTCGCACACTCGCCACACCCACCGGGGACCCTGCCACAGCACCTTCCCGGCCTCTCGGCTCCCAGCGCACCACCACGCCTGCCACCCCCCGACCACTGCCCCGGGCACCTTCGGGGCCACCCGCGCCCCAGGCTCACCCTTCACCTTCCCTCGGCACATCGCGCGGGAAAAGGAAGGCATTTTTTCCCACGGCCCGCCCCTGGGCACCTCGTGCTGCTGCGTGGCTTCCTCAGCGTCCGTCCGACCGACAAGGGGGCGCCTGCTTTCAATCGCCGGAAATCCCGCGGGCACCCTCTCCAATCCGAAGACGCTCACTCGATTCTTCGGACCGGCCTCCCGTCAAGGGACACGAGCCCCTCTGCTAACCGCGCCTCACCTCTCGGCATGGCTACAAGCTTTTCCCACCGGGAAAGCTGTGATTTACGGATGAAAGACTTCACAACAAAGGGTTGTAAAGCAGGTATGTTTATTCGGCGCCGGGCACGTGGGGGATGGCTCCGCCACAACAAGCATGCGCGCCCCCCTGCCCTGCTAGTCTTGCTTCTATGTTACAAAGCGTTGCATATTCACGAGACGCCTATGCATATTCATAACCTATTCCCGCCTACCCTCGCTTCTTATTATAATTAGGTCTCCTCCTCCTTGCGGCTGCGCAGGGAGTTCCTTTGGTCCTGGGCGGGGGTCGTGAAGAGCTGGGCAGTGGTCGTGGGAGGAAGTATCTCCTCTTCCTCACTGCTTAACTTTTCATCCTGAATTCCTGCGCAGTCTCTGTCGCCTCCTGGACCTGGGCTAAACCGCAGAGCTGGTTTGTGCCGGTTGTGAGGTGATCTTTTGCTGATACACACTTATTTAAGGGAAGGAAAGGGGGGGCCCTCTTTTGAATAGGAAACAGAGGCAGAGCAAAACAGGCAATGTCTCTTGTCTCGTGCAAGCATAATACCAAATTTGGTTAATATCCCATTTCAGCTGCAACTGAGCAGGTGGTCGATTCGCACTCCTGCCCAAAATGATCCCCACCTACACAACCCCTGAAACCAGGGGAGCACCTCACAACCCTCACACTCTTCAGCTGCAAGACCAAACCGCATTTCCAAACCACCGAGAACACACCAACAGCCACAGGCTCCGTATCTTCCACAGTCCTGGGCAGAGACACACGGAAAGAAGGATTCAGTCTCTCCACAGAACACGACTGGAAACACCAACGCCGGCAGCTTTGAAACGGCCTGACAGTTTAGGAGTAGCGCTCGGGGATATTAGAAATGCCCCTCGCCAACCGCTGCGGCCGGCCCAGCTCCGCCAGCTGGCCCCGGCTCCTGCCAGGGCACCAAGGAAGCCCCCCGCGCCACCCTGGCTGGGCACAAAGGCCTCGCAGCCCTGCGCCCACCAGACCCCAAGGAGTCGCGAGACACAGCTCCCGCTCTGCCCGGCACGGCCACGCCGGCGCCACAAAATAGGAGCTGCTGGGTGGCCCTAGAGCCATCGCCAGCCTGCGGCCAGCGGCCACGGGGCGCGCCAGGAGCCTTCCCAAGGAGGACGCCCAAGGCCAGGGCGAGCGAGCCCAAAGCCTTTGCCGCAAAGAGCGGGCGCCAAAAAGGGTGTCCCTGGGCGGTCTTGTGTCCCGGCAGGAGCCGGGGCCGCCCCTACAGTCTCCCCTGGCGGTCTTCCGTCCCGGCAGGAGCCGGGGCCGCCCCTAGTCTCCCCTGCGGTCTCCCATCCCGGTTGGAACCGGGGCCGCTCCTGCTTAGCTTCCCCAGGGGGCCTGTTAAGGGGAGGGTAGCTGCACCGTGGCCCCCGCCAGCTCCGCCCCCCAGCACCGCCTTTAGCTCCGCCTCCTTTCCCGCTCCACCAGCTCCACAAAGGCTCCTGACAACAGGCCGGGCCGCACACTCGCCCTCGCCAAACCCAGCCCGAGCAAAGCCCTCGCACACTCGCCACACCCACCGGGGACCCTGCCACAGCACCTTCCCGGCCTCTCGGCTCCCAGCGCACCACCACGCCTGCCACCCCCCGACCACTGCCCCGGGCACCTTCGGGGCCACCCGCGCCCCAGGCTCACCCTTCACCTTCCCTCGGCACATCGCGCGGGAAAAGGAAGGCATTTTTTCCCACGGCCCGCCCCTGGGCACCTCGTGCTGCTGCGTGGCTTCCTCAGCGTCCGTCCCGACCGACAAGGGGGCGCCTGCTTTCATCGCCGGAAATCCCGCGGGCACCCTCTCCAATCCGAAGACGCTCACTCGATTCTTCGGACCGGCCTCCCGTCAAGGGACACGAGCCCCTCTGCTAACCGCGCCTCACCTCTCGGCATGGCTACAAGCTTTTCCCACCGGGAAAGCTGTGATTTACGGATGAAAGACTTCACAACAAAGGGTTGTAAAGCAGGTATGTTTATTCGGCGCCGGGCACGTGGGGGATGGCTCCGCCACAACAAGCATGCGCGCCCCCCTGCCCTGCTAGTCTTGCTTCTATGTTACAAAGCGTTGCATATTCACGAGACGCCTATGCATATTCATAACCTATTCCCGCCTACCCTCGCTTCTTATTATAATTAGGTCTCCTCCTCCTTGCGGCTGCGCAGGGAGTTCCTTTGGTCCTGGGCGGGGGTCGTGAAGAGCTGGGCAGTGGTCGTGGGAGGAAGTATCTCCTCTTCCTCACTGCTTAACTTTTCATCCTGAATTCCTGCGCAGTCTCTGTCGCCTCCTGGACCTGGGCTAAACCGCAGAGCTGGTTTGTGCCGGTTGTGAGGTGATCTTTTGCTGATACACACTTATTTAAGGGAAGGAAAGGGGGGGCCCTCTTTTGAATAGGAAACAGAGGCAGAGCAAAACAAGCAATGTCTCTTGTCTCGTGCAAGCATAATACCAAATTTGGTTAATATCCCATTTCAGCTGCAACTGAGCAGGTGGTCGATTCGCACTCCTGCCCAAAATGATCCCCACCTACACAACCCCTGAAACCAGGGGAGCACCTCACAACCCTCACACTCTTCAGCTGCAAGACCAAACCGCATTTCCAAACCACCGAGAACACACCAACAGCCACAGGCTCCGTATCTTCCACAGTCCTGGGCAGAGACACACGGAAAGAAGGATTCAGTCTCTCCACAGAACACGACTGGAAACACCAACACCGGTGTTTTGCCAATTGACGGGCTTAACACATAGGACACAGACACCAAGCTAAAGAAATAGGCTTATTTTACTTTAGTTTAAAACAGCAGAAAGAATAAGCAAGGTAATGCACCTAGAAATTACTATTTAAAGCTAGCTGTAGTGATTAAGAAAGATCCATCACCAATTGCCCTCATACTTTACCATCATCCAGATCCGTGCATCAGCTGGGGAGCCCCGTCACAGCGAAGGGTCGGAGAGGCTTTCCCGGCAATTGGGAAGTCCTACGCAGTGAGTCCGCTCGTAGGTGAGGTCTCCTATAAATATTGCCAATTTCATACCTTCCTCCTTCATCCCCTGTATGCAATCTCGCAAAGTATACCAGGGACGTTCCCCACCTGGCCAATCATTCTCCGTGGGGTATTTATTATTACATCTCTGGGCAGCCAAGGTTAACAAATTTGTATCCTGAGGATTATTTCGGAATGCATCTTGCACAGAGGAGTCAGAACTCAAAACTAAAAACTTCCTAGATTCCCCTGGATCTAAGGTTACCCCTGCTGCTCCCTGATCGTGCAAAATCACCATCCAAGAGAGCAGGGGTTCCCCCAGTCTCTGCTTAAATCTTTCAATTATATCATCTATTTGATGCTGAGTATAATCTTCAATCCCATCCTTCCTTACTTGTTGCCCGTTAGTATCCAATTCTATTTTCCGTCTCCACACTGGTTTTACATCCACAGGTTCATCTGAGGAACGAGCCTCATCAGAACCTGTAGAATCCCAAATATCTCCATCCCATCTGTCAGGATCCCACCGTACCCCTGCTTCTGCAATCGCAGCATGCACTTTCCTATGGTTTACTCGTCCCCTTCTTTTCTTATACTTATACTGTGCAACTCTTACTGCAGCTGTTTCAGCTACAGTCTGATAAGTATCCAACTTATCGGCAAGCAACTTGTTTTGACACCGTAACGATACAATTTGATTCTGCAAATCACACATCTGTCGCTCCATGTGGGAGCGCTCCAACAACAGTTTTTCTTTCTGTTGGTGCTGTTTCCGATATGCTGTTAACAAAACCCATCCCCGTCTTCCCGAACACACAATTTCTTTTCCTTTTTCAACAGATAATTTTTGGATACATTTTAATACATCCAGTGGTTCAGCTTCTTTTAGCCGACTTTCCCACTGTTCACATGGTCCTCCGACCTTAGCCCACTCAAGAGCCAGTGAACTATAAGGAAGGTCTTCCCATCCAGGAATTTCAGATGGAGCTGATTCCTTACGTTTAGATTTAAAAAATGACATTTTGTTCTAATCCTGTCCCTGACGCCAAATTTGTTTTGCCAATTAACGGGCTTAACACAAAGGACACAGACACCGAGCTAAAGAAATAGGCTTATTTTACTTTAGTTTAAAACAGCAGAAAGAATAAGCATGGTAATGCACCTAGACATTACTATTTAAAGCTAGCTGTAGTGATTAAGAAAGATCCATCACCAATTGCCCTCATACTTTACCATCATCCAGATCCGTGCATCAGCTGGGGAGCCCCGTCACAGCGAAGGGTCGGAGAGGCTTTCCCGGCAATTGGGAAGTCCTACGCAGTGCGTCCGCTCGTAGGTGAGGTCTGCGTCTGTGCTGTGAGAGGGTCCAGGTTTTATAGAGTTTAACAAACAAGTCTAAACAAAACGCACAGGAGATATCTGGTAGATTGATATGGCTCACTCAGGCGTGTCCGGATCTGGCCAGGATCCGGCCATGCGCGAGGAGTTTCTGTTTTTCTTTACATTTGGGATTTATAGTTACTTCCTATTGTTTACTTATAGTTCCCAGGGATTGTTCCCAGGGTTACGTTTTCATGCTGATAAGATACGGGTTGCTTCAGTCTGCTGATAAGATGCTGATTGCTGGTCGGGGAATTCACTCAGAAGTGAACTTTGGTTTGAGGCCTATTGTTTGGGCCCCTTTTTGTTTCAGCCGGCAGCTTTGAAAGGGCCTGACAGTTTAGGAGTAGCGCTCGGGGATATTAGAAATGCCCCTCGCCAACCGCTGCGGCCGGCCCAGCTCCGCCAGCTGGCCCCGGCTCCTCCCAGGGCACCAAGGAAGCCCCCCGCGCCACCCTGGCTGGGCACAAAGGCCTCGCAGCCCTGCGCCCACCAGACCCCAAGGAGTCGCGAGACACAGCTCCCGCTCTGCCCGGCACGGCCACGCCGGCGCCACAAAATAGGAGCTGCTGGGTGGCCCTAGAGCCATCGCCAGCCTGCGGCCAGCGGCCACGGGGCGCGCCAGGAGCCTTCCCAAGGAGGACGACCAAGGCCAGGGCGAGCGAGCCCAAAGCCTTTGCCGCAAAGAGCGGGCGCCAAAAAGGGTGTCCCTGGGCGGTCTTGTGTCCCGGCAGGAGCCGGGGCCGCCCCAACAGTCTCCCCTGGCGGTCTTCCGTCCCGGCAGGAGCCGGGGCCGCCCCTAGTCTCCCCTGCGGTCTCCCATCCCGGTTGGAACCGGGGCCGCTCCTGCTTAGCTTCCCCAGGGGGCCTGTTAAGGGGAGGGTAGCTGCACCGTGGCCCCCGCCAGCTCCGCCCCCCAGCACCGCCTTTAGCTCCGCCTCCTTTCCCGCTCCACCAGCTCCACAAAGGCTCCTGACAACAGGCCGGGCCGCACACTCGCCCTCGCCAAACCCAGCCCGAGCAAAGCCCTCGCACACTCGCCACACCCACCGGGGACCCTGCCACAGCACCTTCGCGGCCTCTCGGCTCCCAGCGCACCACCACGCCTGCCACCCCCCGACCACTGCCCCGGGCACCTTCGGGGCCACCCGCGCCCCAGGCTCACCCTTCACCTTCCCTCGGCACATCGCGCGGGAAAAGGAAGGCATTTTTTCCCACGGCCCGCCCCTGGGCACCTCGTGCTGCTGCGTGGCTTCCTCAGCGTCCGTCCGACCGACAAGGGGGCGCCTGCTTTCATCGCCGGAAATCCCGCGGGCACCCTCTCCAATCCGAAGACGCTCACTCGATTCTTCGGACCGGCCTCCCGTCAAGGGACACGAGCCCCTCTGCTAACCGCGCCTCACCTCTCGGCATGGCTACAAGCTTTTCCCACCGGGAAAGCTGTGATTTACGGATGAAAGACTTCACAACAAAGGGTTGTAAAGCAGGTATGTTTATTCGGCGCCGGGCACGTGGGGGATGGCTCCGCCACAACAAGCATGCGCGCCCCCCTGCCCTGCTAGTCTTGCTTCTATGTTACAAAGCGTTGCATATTCACGAGACGCCTATGCATATTCATAACCTATTCCCGCCTACCCTCGCTTCTTATTATAATTAGGTCTCCTCCTCCTTGCGGCTGCGCAGGGAGTTCCTTTGGTCCTGGGCGGGGGTCGTGAAGAGCTGGGCAGTGGTCGTGGGAGGAAGTATCTCCTCTTCCTCACTGCTTAACTTTTCATCCTGAATTCCTGCGCAGTCTCTGTCGCCTCCTGGACCTGGGCTAAACCGCAGAGCTGGTTTGTGCCGGTTGTGAGGTGATCTTTTGCTGATACACACTTATTTAAGGGAAGGAAAGGGGGGGCCCTCTTTTGAATAGGAAACAGAGGCAGAGCAAAACAGGCAATGTCTCTTGTCTCGTGCAAGCATAATACCAAATTTGGTTAATATCCCATTTCAGCTGCAACTGAGCAGGTGGTCGATTCGCACTCCTGCCCAAAATGATCCCCACCTACACAACCCCTGAAACCAGGGGAGCACCTCACAACCCTCACACTCTTCAGCTGCAAGACCAAACCGCATTTCCAAACCACCGAGAACACACCAACAGCCACAGGCTCCGTATCTTCCACAGTCCTGGGCAGAGACACACGGAAAGAAGGATTCAGTCTCTCCACAGAACACGACTGGAAACACCAACACCGGTGTTTTGCCAATTGACGGGCTTAACACATAGGACACAGACACCAAGCTAAAGAAATAGGCTTATTTTACTTTAGTTTAAAACAGCAGAAAGAATAAGCAAGGTAATGCACCTAGAAATTACTATTTAAAGCTAGCTGTAGTGATTAAGAAAGATCCATCACCAATTGCCCTCATACTTTACCATCATCCAGATCCGTGCATCAGCTGGGGAGCCCCGTCACAGCGAAGGGTCGGAGAGGCTTTCCCGGCAATTGGGAAGTCCTACGCAGTGAGTCCGCTCGTAGGTGAGGTCTCCTATAAATATTGCCAATTTCATACCTTCCTCCTTCATCCCCTGTATGCAATCTCGCAAAGTATACCAGGGACGTTCCCCACCTGGCCAATCATTCTCCGTGGGGTATTTATTATTACATCTCTGGGCAGCCAAGGTTAACAAATTTGTATCCTGAGGATTATTTCGGAATGCATCTTGCACAGAGGAGTCAGAACTCAAAACTAAAAACTTCCTAGATTCCCCTGGATCTAGGGTTAACCCTGCTGCTCCCTGATCGTCCAAACGCACCATCCAAGAGAGCAGGGGTTCCCCCAGTCTCTGCTTAAATCTTTCAATTATATCATTTATTTGATGCTGAGTATAATCTTCAATCCCATCCTTCCTTACTTGTTGCCCGTTAGTATCCAATTCTATTTTCCGTCTCCACACTGGTTTTACATCCACAGGTTCATCTGAGGAACGAGCCTCATCAGAACCTGTAGAATCCCAAATATCTCCATCCCATCTGTCAGGATCCCACCGTACCCCTGCTTCTGCAATCGCAGCATGCACTTTCCTATGGTTTACTCGTCCCCTTCTTTTCTTATACTTATACTGTGCAACTCTTACTGCAGCTGTTTCAGCTACAGTCTGATAAGTATCCAACTTATCGGCAAGCAACTTGTTTTGACACCGTAACGATACAAATTGATTCTGCAAATCACACATCTGTCGCTCCATGTGGGAGTGCTCCAACAACAGTTTTTCTTTCTGTTGGTGCTGTTTCCGATATGCTGTTAACAAAACCCATCCCCGTCTTCCCGAACACACAATTTCTTTTCCTTTTTCGATAGATAATTTTTGGATACATTTTAATACATCCATTGGTTCAGCTTCTTTTAGCCGACTTTCCCACTGTTCACATGGTCCTCCGACCTTAGCCCACTCAAGAGCCAGTGAACTATAAGGAAGGTCTTCCCATCCAGGAATTTCAGATGGAGCTGATTCCTTACGTTTAGATTTAAAAAATGACATTTTGTTCTAATCCTGTCCCTGACGCCAAATTTGTTTTGCCAATTAACGGGCTTAACACAAAGGACACAGACACCAAGCTAAAGAAATAGGCTTATTTTACTTTAGTTTAAAACAGCAGAAAGAATAAGCAAGGTAATGCGCCTAGACATTACTATTTAAAGCTAGCTGTAGTGATTAAGAAAGATCCATCACCAATTGCCCTCATACTTTACCGTCATCCAGATCCGTGCATCAGCTGGGGAGCCCCGTCACAGCGAAGGGTCGGAGAGGCTTTCCCGGCAATTGGGAAGTCCCACGCAGTGCGTCCGCTCGTAGGTGAGGTCTGCGTCTGTGCTGTGAGAGGGTCCAGGTTTTATAGAGTTTAACAAACAAGTCTAAACAAAACGCACAGGAGATATCTGGTAGATTGATATGGCTCACTCAGGCGTGTCCGGATCTGGCCAGGATCCGGGCATGCCCGAGGAGTTTCTGTTTTTCTTTACATTTGGGATTTATAGTTACTTCCTATTGTTTACTTATAGTTCCCAGGGATTGTTCCCAGGGTTACGTTTTCATGCTGATAAGATACGGGTTGCTTCAGTCTGCTGATAAGATGCTGATTGCTGGTCGGGGAACTCACTCAGAAGTGAACTTTGGTTTGAGGCCTATTGTTTGGGCCCCTTTTTGTTTCAGCCGGCAGCTTTGAAAGGGCCTGACAGTTTAGGAGTAGCGCTCGGGGATATTAGAAATGCCCCTCGCCAACCGCTGCGGCCGGCCCAGCTCCGCCAGCTGGCCCCGGCTCCTCCCAGGGCACCAAGGAAGCCCCCCGCGCCACCCTGGCTGGGCACAAAGGCCTCGCAGCCCTGCGCCCACCAGACCCCAAGGAGTCGCGAGACACAGCTCCCGCTCTGCCCGGCACGGCCACGCCGGCGCCACAAAATAGGAGCTGCTGGGTGGCCCTAGAGCCATCGCCAGCCTGCGGCCAGCGGCCACGGGGCGCGCCAGGAGCCTTCCCAAGGAGGACGACCAAGGCCAGGGCGAGCAAGCCCAAAGCCTTTGCCGCAAAGAGCGGGCGCCAAAAAGGGTGTCCCTGGGCGGTCTTGTGTCCCGGCAGGAGCCGGGGCCGCCCCTACAGTCTCCCCTGGCGGTCTTCCGTCCCGGCAGGAGCCGGGGCCGCCCCTAGTCTCCCCTGCGGTCTCCCATCCCGGTTGGAACCGGGGCCGCTCCTGCTTAGCTTCCCCGGGGGGCCTGTTAAGGGGAGGGTAGCTGCACCGTGGCCCCCGCCAGCTCCGCCCCCCAGCACCGCCTTTAGCTCCGCCTCCTTTCCCGCTCCACCAGCTCCACAAAGGCTCCTGACAACAGGCCGGGCCGCACACTCGCCCTCGCCAAACCCAGCCCGAGCAAAGCCCTCGCACACTCGCCACACCCACCGGGGACCCTGCCACAGCACCTTCCCGGCCTCTCGGCTCCCAGCGCACCACCACGCCTGCCACCCCCCGACCACTGCCCCGGGCACCTTCGGGGCCACCCGCGCCCCAGGCTCACCCTTCACCTTCCCTCGGCACATCGCGCGGGAAAAGGAAGGCATTTTTTCCCACGGCCCGCCCCTGGGCACCTCGTGCTGCTGCGTGGCTTCCTCAGCGTCCGTCCGACCGACAAGGGGGCGCCTGCTTTCATCGCCGGAAATCCCGCGGGCACCCTCTCCAATCCGAAGACGCTCACTCGATTCTTCGGACCGGCCTCCCGTCAAGGGACACGAGCCCCTCTGCTAACCGCGCCTCACCTCTCGGCATGGCTACAAGCTTTTCCCACCGGGAAAGCTGTGATTTACGGATGAAAGACTTCACAACAAAGGGTTGTAAAGCAGGTATGTTTATTCGGCGCCGGGCACGTGGGGGATGGCTCCGCCACAACAAGCATGCGCGCCCCCCTGCCCTGCTAGTCTTGCTTCTATGTTACAAAGCGTTGCATATTCACGAGACGCCTATGCATATTCATAACCTATTCCCGCCTACCCTCGCTTCTTATTATAATTAGGTCTCCTCCTCCTTGCGGCTGCGCAGGGAGTTCCTTTGGTCCTGGGCGGGGGTCGTGAAGAGCTGGGCAGTGGTCGTGGGAGGAAGTATCTCCTCTTCCTCACTGCTTAACTTTTCATCCTGAATTCCTGCGCAGTCTCTGTCGCCTCCTGGACCTGGGCTAAACCGCAGAGCTGGTTTGTGCCGGTTGTGAGGTGATCTTTTGCTGATACACACTTATTTAAGGGAAGGAAAGGGGGGGCCCTCTTTTGAATAGGAAACAGAGGCAGAGCAAAACAAGCAATGTCTCTTGTCTCGTGCAAGCATAATACCAAATTTGGTTAATATCCCATTTCAGCTGCAACTGAGCAGGTGGTCGATTCGCACTCCTGCCCAAAATGATCCCCACCTACACAACCCCTGAAACCAGGGGAGCACCTCACAACCCTCACACTCTTCAGCTGCAAGACCAAACCGCATTTCCAAACCACCGAGAACACACCAACAGCCACAGGCTCCGTATCTTCCACAGTCCTGGGCAGAGACACACGGAAAGAAGGATTCAGTCTCTCCACAGAACACGGCTGAAAACACCAACGCCGGTGTTTTGCCAATTGACGGGCTTAACACAAAGGACACAGACACCAAGCTAAAGAAATAGGCTTATTTTACTTTAGTTTAAAACAGCAGAAAGAATAAGCAAGGTAATGCAGCTAGAAATTACTATTTAAAGCTAGCTGTAGTGATTAAGAAAGATCCATCACCAATTGCCCTCATACTTTACCATCATCCAGATCCGTGCATCAGCTGGGGAGCCCCGTCACAGCGAAAGGTCGGAGAGGCTTTCCCGGCAATTGGGAAGTCCTACGCAGTGCGTCCACTCGTAGGTGAGGTCTCCTATAAAAATTGCCAATTTCATACCTTCCTCCTTCATCCGCTGTATGCAATCTCGCAAAGTATACCAGGGACGTTCCCCACCTGGCCAATCATTCTCCGTGGGGTATTTATTATTACATCTCTGGGCAGCCAAGGTTAACAAATTTGTATCCTGAGGTTTATTTCGGAATGCATCTTGCACAAAGGAGTCAGAACTCAAAACTAAAAACTTCCTAGATTCCCCTGGATCTAAGGTTACCCCTGCTGCTCCCTGATCGTGCAAAATCACCATCCAAGAGAGCAGGGGTTCCCCCAGTCTCTGCTTAAATCTTTCAATTATATCATCTATTTGATGCTGAGTATAATCTTCAATCCCATCCTTCCTTACTTGTTGCCCGTTAGTATCCAATTCTATTTTCCGTCTCCACACTGGTTTTACATCCACAGGTTCATCTGAGGAACGAGCCTCATCAGAACCTGTAGAATCCCAAATATCTCCATCCCATCTGTCAGGATCCCACCGTACCCCTGCTTCTGCAATCGCAGCATGCACTTTCCTATGGTTTACTCGTCCCCTTCTTTTCTTATACTGTGCAACTCTTACTGCAGCTGTTTCAGCTACAGTCTGATAAGTATCCAACTTATCGGCAAGCAACTTGTTTTGACACCGTAACGATACAATTTGATTCTGCAAATCACACATCTGTCGCTCCATGTGGGAGCGCTCCAACAACAGTTTTTCTTTCTGTTGGTGCTGTTTCCGATATGCTGTTAACAAAACCCATCCCCGTCTTCCCGAACACACAATTTCTTTTCCTTTTTCAACAGATAATTTTTGGATACATTTTAATACATCCAGTGGTTCAGCTTCTTTTAGCCGACTTTCCCACTGTTCACATGGTCCTCCGACCTTAGCCCACTCAAGAGCCAGTGAACTATAAGGAAGGTCTTCCCATCCAGGAATTTCAGATGGAGCTGATTCCTTACGTTTAGATTTAAAAAATGACATTTTGTTCTAATCCTGTCCCTGACGCCAAATTTGTTTTGCCAATTAACGGGCTTAACACAAAGGACACAGACACCGAGCTAAAGAAATAGGCTTATTTTACTTTAGTTTAAAACAGCAGAAAGAATAAGCATGGTAATGCACCTAGACATTACTATTTAAAGCTAGCTGTAGTGATTAAGAAAGATCCATCACCAATTGCCCTCATACTTTACCATCATCCAGATCCGTGCATCAGCTGGGGAGCCCCGTCACAGCGAAGGGTCGGAGAGGCTTTCCCGGCAATTGGGAAGTCCTACGCAGTGCGTCCGCTCGTAGGTGAGGTCTGCGTCTGTGCTGTGAGAGGGTCCAGGTTTTATAGAGTTTAACAAACAAGTCTAAACAAAACGCACAGGAGATATCTGGTAGATTGATATGGCTCACTCAGGCGTGTCCGGATCTGGCCAGGATCCGGCCATGCGCGAGGAGTTTCTGTTTTCTTTACATTTGGGATTTATAGTTACTTCCTATTGTTTACTTATAGTTCCCAGGGATTGTTCCCAGGGTTACGTTTTCATGCTGATAAGATACGGGTTGCTTCAGTCTGCTGATAAGATGCTGATTGCTGGTCGGGGAATTCACTCAGAAGTGAACTTTGGTTTGAGGCCTATTGTTTGGGCCCCTTTTTGTTTCAGCCGGCAGCTTTGAAAGGGCCTGACAGTTTAGGAGTAGCGCTCGGGGATATTAGAAATGCCCCTCGCCAACCGCTGCGGCCGGCCCAGCTCCGCCAGCTGGCCCCGGCTCCTCCCAGGGCACCAAGGAAGCCCCCCGCGCCACCCTGGCTGGGCACAAAGGCCTCGCAGCCCTGCGCCCACCAGACCCCAAGGAGTCGCGAGACACAGCTCCCGCTCTGCCCGGCACGGCCACGCCGGCGCCACAAAATAGGAGCTGCTGGGTGGCCCTAGAGCCATCGCCAGCCTGCGGCCAGCGGCCACGGGGCGCGCCAGGAGCCTTCCCAAGGAGGACGCCCAAGGCCAGGGCGAGCGAGCCCAAAGCCTTTGCCGCAAAGAGCGGGCGCCAAAAAGGGTGTCCCTGGGCGGTCTTCCGTCCCGGCAGGAGCCGGGGCCGCCCCTACAGTCTCCCCTGGCGGTCTTCCGTCCCGGCAGGAGCCGGGGCCGCCCCTAGTCTCCCCTGCGGTCTCCCATCCCGGTTGGAACCGGGGCCGCTCCTGCTTAGCTTCCCCAGGGGGCCTGTTAAGGGGAGGGTAGCTGCACCGTGGCCCCCGCCAGCTCCGCCCCCCAGCACCGCCTTTAGCTCCGCCTCCTTTCCCGCTCCACCAGCTCCACAAAGGCTCCTGACAACAGGCCGGGCCGCACACTCGCCCTCGCCAAACCCAGCCCGAGCAAAGCCCTCGCACACTCGCCACACCCACCGGGGACCCTGCCACAGCACCTTCGCGGCCTCTCGGCTCCCAGCGCACCACCACGCCTGCCACCCCCCGACCACTGCCCCGGGCACCTTCGGGGCCACCCGCGCCCCAGGCTCACCCTTCACCTTCCCTCGGCACATCGCGCGGGAAAAGGAAGGCATTTTTTCCCACGGCCCGCCCCTGGGCACCTCGTGCTGCTGCGTGGCTTCCTCAGCGTCCGTCCGACCGACAAGGGGGCGCCTGCTTTCATCGCCGGAAATCCCGCGGGCACCCTCTCCAATCCGAAGACGCTCACTCGATTCTTCGGACCGGCCTCCCGTCAAGGGACACGAGCCCCTCTGCTAACCGCGCCTCACCTCTCGGCATGGCTACAAGCTTTTCCCACCGGGAAAGCTGTGATTTACGGATGAAAGACTTCACAACAAAGGGTTGTAAAGCAGGTATGTTTATTCGGCGCCGGGCACGTGGGGGATGGCTCCGCCACAACAAGCATGCGCGCCCCCCTGCCCTGCTAGTCTTGCTTCTATGTTACAAAGCGTTGCATATTCATGAGACGCCTATGCGTATTCATAACCCATTCCCGCCTACCCTCGCTTCTTATTATAATTAGGTCTCCTCCTCCTTGCGGCTGCGCAGGGAGTTCCTTTGGTCCTGGGCGGGGGTCGTGAAGAGCTGGGCAGTGGTCGTGGGAGGAAGTATCTCCTCTTCCTCACTGCTTAACTTTTCATCCTGAATTCCTGCGCAGTCTCTGTCGCCTCCTGGACCTGGGCTAAACCGCAGAGCTGGTTTGTGCCGGTTGTGAGGTGATCTTTTGCTGATACACACTTATTTAAGGGAAGGAAAGGGGGGGCCCTCTTTTGAATAGGAAACAGAGGCAGAGCAAAACAGGCAATGTCTCTTGTCTCGTGCAAGCATAATACCAAATTTGGTTAATATCCCATTTCAGCTGCAACTGAGCAGGTGGTCGATTCGCACTCCTGCCCAAAATGATCCCCACCTACACAACCCCTGAAACCAGGGGAGCACCTCACAACCCTCACACTCTTCAGCTGCAAGACCAAACCGCATTTCCAAACCACCGAGAACACACCAACAGCCACAGACTCCGTATCTTCCACAGTCCTGGGCAGAGACACACGGAAAGAAGGATTCAGTCTCTCCACAGAACACGACTGGAAACACCAACGCCGGCAGCTTTGAAACGGCCTGACAGTTTAGGAGTAGCGCTCGGGGATATTAGAAATGCCCCTCGCCAACCGCTGCGGCCGGCCCAGCTCCGCCAGCTGGCCCCGGCTCCTCCCAGGGCACCAAGGAAGCCCCCCGCGCCACCCTGGCTGGGCACAAAGGCCTCGCAGCCCTGCGCCCACCAGACCCCAAGGAGTCGCGAGACACAGCTCCCGCTCTGCCCGGCACGGCCACGCCGGCGCCACAAAATAGGAGCTGCTGGGTGGCCCTAGAGCCATCGCCAGCCTGCGGCCAGCGGCCACGGGGCGCGCCAGGAGCCTTCCCAAGGAGGACGACCAAGGCCAGGGCGAGCGAGCCCAAAGCCTTTGCCGCAAAGAGCGGGCGCCAAAAAGGGTGTCCCTGGGCGGTCTTGTGTCCCGGCAGGAGCCGGGGCCGCCCCTACAGTCTCCCCTGGCGGTCTTCCGTCCCGGCAGGAGCCGGGGCCGCCCCTAGTCTCCCCTGCGGTCTCCCATCCCGGTTGGAACCGGGGCCGCTCCTGCTTAGCTTCCCCGGGGGGCCTGTTAAGGGGAGGGTAGCTGCACCGTGGCCCCCGCCAGCTCCGCCCCCCAGCACCGCCTTTAGCTCCGCCTCCTTTCCCGCTCCACCAGCTCCACAAAGGCTCCTGACAACAGGCCGGGCCGCACACTCGCCCTCGCCAAACCCAGCCCGAGCAAAGCCCTCGCACACTCGCCACACCCACCGGGGACCCTGCCACAGCACCTTCCCGGCCTCTCGGCTCCCAGCGCACCACCACGCCTGCCACCCCCCCGACCACTGCCCCGGGCACCTTCGGGGCCACCCGCGCCCCAGGCTCACCCTTCACCTTCCCTCGGCACATCGCGCGGGAAAAGGAAGGCATTTTTTCCCACGGCCCGCCCCTGGGCACCTCGTGCTGCTGCGTGGCTTCCTCAGCGTCCGTCCGACCGACAAGGGGGCGCCTGCTTTCATCGCCGGAAATCCCGCGGGCACCCTCTCCAATCCGAAGACGCTCACTCGGTTCTTCGGACCGGCCTCCCATCAAGGGACACGAGCCCCTCTGCTAACTGCGCCTCACCTCTCGGCATGGCTACAAGCTTTTCCCACTAGGAATGCTGCAACTGAGCAGGTGGTCGATTGAAACTCCTGCCCAAAATCATCCCCACCTACACAACCCCTGAAACCAGGGGAGCACCTCACAACCCTCACACTCTTCAGCTGCAAGACCAAACCGCATTTCCAAACCACCGAGAACACACCAACAGCCACAGACTCCGTATCTTCCACAGTCCTGGGCAGAGACACACGGAAAGAAGGATTCAGTCTCTCCACAGAACACGGCTGAAAACACCAACGCCGGCAGCTTTGAAACGGCCTGACAGTTTAGGAGTAGCGCTCGGGGATATTAGAAATGCCCCTCGCCAACCGCTGCGTTGCGACTAGCTAAATCAGGGTCTGCCCGGCACTCAGCTGCAGTCTGGTCCTTTGTCCCTGCTAGGTCCAGCCTCTTCAGTTGAGTGCATCGCTTGACCCACAACATTCTCTATGTATAGGAGAAGTCTGAGGAGAACAGCCCATACGCTCACAAGTCTCAGCCCACACTGCCGGAACCACGCCTGTGTCATACATAGCCTGAAGAGGACCTTTTCAGGAAAGGCTTTGTATGGAAATCTGAAGTTCCCTTCAAAACCTCCCACAGTAACATAAGCACTTAATCATTGCTCAGATGAATAGTCTTTAGTCATGCCTCATGTTGTAAAAATCTAATTTGTCAGGCATTTTTGTTATTATGCCCTTAATATGGAAATTCTCCTACCTTTTTTTTCAGCGATGTTGAGTGCTATTATAGTTGCATACCACATCTAGTTCTTTGCTCCTCAGTATAAGAGAGGTATGGACAGGAAGTGTCCAGCAAAGGGCCTCAAAAATGATTAAGGAACAGGAGGATCTCACCTGTGCATAGGCTGGGAGATCCTGGTCTGTTCAGCCGAGGGAAGAGAATCCTTAGGGGGATCTAGTCTGTGTATATAAATACCTGAAGGGAGAGTGCAAAGACAGAGCAATCCCTTTTTCACTGGTGTTGTGAAGGATTGTTGCAAATACCTTAATAAAACAGTTTGAATCCTAGAATATTATTTTGATTTTAGTTTAAAAGTATGATTTTGATTTAACATGAAGCTACAGTAGCTATGAGAATATAAAGTACACTAAGGCCCTTAGGATTAAGCAACTAGTATGCTGTGTGCCTTGAACACTATAAGAATCGTTATGGACTCTGAATTAACACAATAGGTACTGGTTATGGATCTTGACTTGAAACAATAGGTACCAGAAGAAATTGGTTTGGTTGGGAAGATCAGCCAAAGGAGAAATGAGCATTAGCCAAAGATGGAGTGAGCATGCGCAAGGATGGAGTTCAATCAGCAGACACAGTGATGAAGACTATCAACGACCACCAGAGGACCCCCGTCCAATATAACCATGCATGCATTAGGGACATTTGCATATGATAATATTTCCCAGGAAATAACATGAATATGCTAATCATTGCCCTCCCCCCACTCTCTTCAAATCAATCAGTAAAGATGACCAATGATTTCTGTAGAATAGGAATATAGGTAAGGTGAGATAACTGAAAGCCAGTCATTATTAAGGTCAACTTAAACTTCATTAATTTTGTTGATCTTATGTAACTGTGACTCTGCTGAAAAACTGTATAAATACATTGTGCTTTGTACCTGTCGGCGAACACGTCTTTGGCAGAGTTATCCCCCGCCAAAGTTCCCCAGCACTGGAATAAAGAAGTGCCTGCTTATCTGCTTTTTGTAGATAAGTTCTTTCGCGATTGCGACCGCTAACGGTTTTGGCGACCCAGATGGGACGTTGCAAGTGAGACTGGATGGGATTGAGCGCTGATCGAACTCCAGCCGGCACCGGGGAATTCTTGGGGAGAACCATCGTTCTCGACCCATAAAGCTCCTCGCAACGTCCCCTGGAAAGGTAAGGCACTTCTTTCGGAATCAGTGGAAAGCCTGCCTGTCAGATGGAGCAAAAGTTCTGCATGGTTGGGGCTAGGGAATTCCCGGGCAGTTTGGTGGTGGGTTTTTTTTTGTTTGTTTTTGTGTGTTTTTTTGTTTACTTGTTTGTTTGTGGTTTTTTTTTGTGTGTGTGTATTTTTTTGGGTTTTGGTTTTTTTTTTTTACTTGATATATTAAAAAAGCTGGCGAATGAAACAGGGATAGAAACTGGAAACCATTCAGGGAGTCAAAGGTAGAAACTGTCACCATGCAATCGGAACATTACAATTGCAGATGATATATTCGGAACAAGTGAGTCAGAAGTAGCACACTCCCTGGGAGAGGGGAGTGAGTCCCTTTCCCCTTTAATAGGCTAAAGCAAGAATTTCTCACTGTATTTCAGGTGAAGACCCAGCCAGCAGAAGGCAGCTTTTCTATCAGACAAAGCAAGGCAAAGGATCCAGTACAGCAACTTCTTTGCAGCCTCTTGCTCCTGAGCACCCTACTTCAACTCTTTTTTTTTTTCTTCTTCTGGTGACGGGAAGGCAAAGCACGTCCTGTCCCTGTGAGCCCATGCTGTACTCTGCTTGTCCCTAGAGTACCAGCAGGCACCTGTGATTCCTCTCCAAAGACATTTAAACACAGAAATCAGTTGAGTCGTGTACTGTGGAAGCATAAACTGCAGGGGACATTATTCAGAATCAGTTATTTTTTGTCCGTCATGACAAAATAAAACCAGAAAATCCTTACTTCATAGAAATTATCCTAAATAGTTGCTTCCAATATCTGTCAAGTTTTTATATCACAGGTGAGAACAGATGCAGCCAAAAGATCGTTTACTGTAAAATGACAACTCCAACCAGGCACGGGCAGCTCCCAGTTTAATGAAGTGTACACAGCACCACTTGGTGGTGAAAGCAAAAAAGCAAAGTCACAGTTGACATGAATAAGAAGTTTTAACATCAGCCTTTTTTGAGGGGTTTTAACCCCTTGAACATGAACTGGGTCTGGTCTGTCTGTCCTCACTTGCCAAATACCATTACAGTGTCTTTGCTATAAAAAAAACTATCTCTACCAAGCAGAAGCAGTCCAAGGGAGCTGAGCCTCAGGGCCAGCAGAACCAAAGGCTGCTGAGCATCAAACAGATGCATCCGCTTTGAAGAGCTTTCAGAATTCTCCACCACTCCACCACGTGGTTTCCAGTGATGCAGCCTGAAGCAGTGTTTAAACAAATGATCCAGCTTAGTATCTGCCTGTACTCCAAAGAATTTTGGCTTACAACTCATGTTTTATACAGACTTGGGCTCTAAACAAATGCAACAGATGTAGCAAAACTGAAGACTGACAGCAACTATTATTTTTCCATTTCATCAACCAGTTATAAAACTAACTTATGCACTTACATAACAGAACACAGTAACTAACAAAATGAAAGCCTTTTATTCAGAACAGATTAGTGCATCTTTACAAGAAAGTCACGATTTCAACGTACAAAGTCAGCATCATCACTAGCAATGCACCTTTCCTGAAGAGGAAACACTTGTCTTTTATCAAATGTCAACCACAAGAGTGTGCAAACAAAATAAACAAACCAACAACCCACACACACCCATACCCCAGAAGCTCTATTTAGATTATATACATACATATATATGTATATATATATAAAAATGTCTTCACAGACAACAACTGCATCAATTCATACTTCAGGCCCTTCTCCTCCAGGAACCAGCTAGAAAAGAACATGACAATTTTGTGTTAGTGCCATAGATTTGAGTTTTACAAATCCATATATAACAGTTCTTGCTTTCCAACATTTTAGCAGATGGAGATTTCATGGTAGACCACAGAAGTAGTTTTCAGATTCAGTATTATCTTCCTCTCCCAACAGAGGAAGACAGTTACTGCCAGAGAAGCACATGCCAAAAAGAAACTCCAAAACATGAAGAATGTTTAACAAAACACAAAGGAGTTCCTAAATAACAAACATTTTGGTTTTTATCTTTGGAATTCACTTCAAAAAGATGTAGAAACACTACGGCTCATTTTTAAAAGGACAATGAACATGTTTCCTTTCAAGAAGAATTTCTCCCACTGCTGACTTTTCCCCAGACTGCCGCTACATTGGGAAATGGGTTTCCTCTTTCCAAATTCTATTGCTAAGCAGAGTCCAAAAACTAAGAAAGAGCCTGAATCCTTGTATAGGCAGCAGGGAATAAGTCAGCACAGCATTTTCCTGTGAATTAAGTAAAGAGCTGAACAACAGAAAAAGAAATACAAAAGGAAAAACATCAATAAGGGAAAAAAGAGGATAACCGTTCCTTTTACTGATATATTCTTAATAGTTAGCTGAGCACTTCTAAAGACAAAGAACTTTATTGTGTTTGGGACCAGAGTAAGAAAAAGTCTAAAGCTTCCTGACGTGGGAAGAGGTGTCCCCAAAAGAGACACAAGATCTAATACAGAAACATCTCTATGTCTTGATGAAAATTTGAACTCTTAAGAATCACCAGCTTCTGTTTCAAGAGCAGTGTGCCACCAGCGTAATTGGATGGTAGTAATTTTACCCTACAAGAAGTCAGAACATGCACTGTCCTTTAAGGATGCAGAACAATAACCAAAGCAGAAAAAGGTTTAGAAATCAGTCAAGATGGCACTTGCTCAGACACCCAGTGAGGAGGTGCAAGGTAGGTAAGACATCAAAGTGGAGATTATTCCTCATTCACTCAGAGCCAACTTTGACTCGTGTCAGCCTTCCTCTTCTCTCTCCACAAAATTAGAAGTGCCCTTCTGTAGAAGTCCAGACTTTGTAGCCGTCTATACAGACAAGCGAAAAACTACTGTGGGTCTGCTTTTGTGCTATTTAGGAAGCTGCAGAATTCAGCCTAGGGATGCACAATCACCATATTTAATTACTGCTTCAGTACTGATCTACACACATCAGCACATGATAAACTAAAAATCATAGCGCTTCTGATTTGGTATAATCCACCAGACCTCCAGATTTTTTTTCAGAGCACGTAAAGATGATGCTCTCTGGGCATCACATGGTATCATAATTGCCAAACGACTCAATGAGCTTCTAAACATCCAAACTGCTGCAAACGTATTTATGCATACCATAATGGATTAAATGTAGATGTATTCCACCTACATACTTAAGCAGGCAAACACTCATGAGTGAAAAGCCACTGTATGAACTGGCCTGCAGAGTGGATAACAAAACCAGTGATCCCCTTGTACACCTGAAGACCAGAAATACATTCACCACAATAAAATTAGGGCCACACTCCTCTTTTTTTTTTTTTTTTTTTTTTTTTATAAGTTGTAACATGTACCAAGTAAGGCAATAAGATCACTCTTTGAGCATCATTCATACACACATATGTCCCAGAAGCTACTTGGAAGTACCACATATAATGGAACTGTCCGAAAAGCTCAGCTTAAAGTAGTTGAACTCAAGTAGCCACCAATTTACAGGTAGAGAAAATAAGTGTATACAGCCTTTTAATAATAATGACTTACCATTGTTATGTTATTTCCATTTAGCAAAATCTGGTCTAGCTTTGTGATTCTTCTGCCCTCAGGTGTAATCTCACTGAAGCAACATTAGAAAAAAGTAAGAACACCTAAGCAGGGACGATGATTCTGGTTTTGATTACAGAACTAACATAAATCTCTGCATTAATGACAGTTATTGGCACTAAAAAATAAATTAGCCAAATTGCAGCGTAACCTTAATAAATTGACCACCTGTGTAATGAAAGCTACCTGGCAGCTAAAAAGATCCATTGGACTTTTCTGCTCAGTACATAGAAATTTACCTTCTAAATCTTGGCAATTTCTTGAATACCACTGATACTGAAAATAAGTTTCAAATAGCAACATGTATATTTTATATATAAAGTAATAAGTACTTAATCCTTAAGTCTGCTAGCTTTTTAAATCTAGACTTCAAGGAAATGTAAAGGCAAACAAACTATTGGAAAATTCAATGCACAACCCAGGCAAAATTAAGGCTACAAATTAGGAACCTGACAACAAGTATAAATCATGCAACAGACACTCTATGACATGGCTGTCCTGAAGAGAAGTCCAAGGTATAAACTATTCATCTGGCAAGTACTCCAGAAATATAAAACCAATTTGCTTATAGATCCCATAAAATATTTTTTCCTCAGGAAACCAAACATTAAATAGCAATAAGACACAGAAATAATACATACAATTCTGTAACATCTTCTAACACCATATCTGAAAATCCAGTTTCAAGGAAAATAAGGCGCAGAATTTTAAAATCAAAATATTGAAAATTATTTTCATTTTGTACTGAATTGTGGTTTTATCTGTAAAGTAAGAATATCAGAATAATACAATTGATCTGTACAAAAAGGTTCTATCCAGTGAACTCAAACCTCTCAAAAGCAATATATGAATTGAGCCAAAGCACAAAGTGGATGGCCTTAAACATTTCCATCAAAAGATACTGACAAAGTCATCAAATCCTAGAAGCGTTCCAACAATTTCTTTATCAGTCTTCATCACAATATGAATGCGTGAGCCTATGCATTTGTCCACAAGTTCTGCAAATAAAACCAAAACCAAAAAAAAAAAAAAAAAAATTGAAAGGTACACAAGGTTGTTTTGTAGAAAGTACATTTCTCAAATAAAACCCCTGGCACAAAAAGGTAACTGCCACAGACTCTGGTAAAAAAAAAAAAAAACAAAAAAAACAACCACAAAAATAAGGTGGTGGGGAAAGACTCAAAAAAATATATTCAAAAAAAAGCACCCCAGCAGAGGGCACAGCTGCCCGCACCTGAGACTGGGACACCACGCACACCCCGACACCCCTCCCAAAGCACAGACAGACAGACCCCCTCCCCCCACACACACAGACACCCCATACACACAGACACACACACACACACACACACACACACACACACAGACAGACAGGCAGACAGACCGACTGACCGCCCCCACACACGGACGGACGGACGGACGGACGCCCCCCCACCCGCGGGCTGGGCGAGGAAACCCCCGCCTGACGCCAAGAGTGCGCGCGCGCCCGCCCGCCCGCGGCGCCACTTCCAGCCCCGCCAGCCCCAAGCTGCCGCCCAGCGGGGCCCCACGCGGCCTCGCCCGCCCAGCCGAGCACAAGACGGGACCTCCCGGCGCCCCGGAGAGCGCGGAGGCGTCGCGGCGGCGGCGGTTACCGAGCGGCAGGAGCTGAGAGGGGTTGGTGCTCGCCACAGCCGCCATGTTGGACCCAGACCTGACCGATCGCTGCCCCCGCCCCCTGGAGCCAACCCAGCAGACCCGACGAGAGGATGGCAGAGCAGTCGCTCCACCTCCGCTCCGGCCCCGCCCCGCTGCCGCCCTCGCCCCTCCACCCGTTTTCCTATAAATGTCGGGACCACGCGGGAGTCGCGACACTCGTATTTCCTATGGGTGGTGCGTGCTGGGTACACCCGGGTAGAAATCTAAAGGAAAAATCCCTTTTTCCCATTCCCTTCCGGGCAGCGCCGCCTTGGGCCGCCGCCGGTACAGCCGGTACCCGAACAGCCCGGCGGCCCCGGTAAGTCAAGCCACCCTTCAAACAAGTCTTCGTTTCGAGTGGCATGGGAGGTGGAGAGGTTTTATGCACTACCTCATAGCTATTTTATGTGGTGCTTAATCTTCCCCAGATTTGCTCATTAACCCACAAGAGGGCTGTCGCAAGAAGGATTTTTGGAAGCCCTTTCCCATATACACAGTGGGTTTGGAGCCAAAAACCCAACTGGCCGTTCCAACACGCCTTGCTTGCTTAATGCTACAGCCTTCAATGAAAGGGATATTTCTGCTTTTAGCGACACTGCACATGTTGTGATGGGGCAGACTCTAGAAGAATCCAGCCTGACTAAGCCCTGTTCCCTGCCCAGGAGGGCAGCGCTGCCCCCAGAAACGCTCAGTTCTCTTGAAGGACCAGCAGCACCTGGCATCTTGCTCCATCCTTAAATGGGGTTAACTCCCAGGTAACTCCAAGCACTCGGATTTTTCCACTCTTGAAGTGAAACAGAACCTCTGGCATCGGTGGGTGCCGCTGCCCCATGGGGCTGTGCCCAAGAGGGCTCTGCTGGGGCACCAGAAAATTTATGTTTGTTACATCTGCAACCAGGGGATCCCCGAAGCTGCGCCCGGGCAGAGGCACGCAAGATCTGTGCTAGAGGATCGCTGACCCCGCTGTTCTCACCTGATTATCAGGGATTTGCGCAGGTGGAATTTACCGCTGTGCTTTGATCTTCCCCGCAGCGGGGCAGGAATCCCAAGCGTGTTCCAGAGGCTGCCTCTCAGGCTGTCATGGGCCTACGTTACCTAAACACAGATGGTCTACTTGTCAAGGACACAGGGGTAAGCAACAAGCAGTATGATGTATGTCCTTTTCTACACCCCAGCTGCAAGTCCCTTGAGCAAGTTTATGATCCTCCTCGCTGATCTTCCATTATTATCCCACAATGACCAAAAGTGAATTTTGTATCTGGAGCTTTTAACTTTTAGTGAATGTTAAACTGAACCTATTTAACACAAAACTGTGTTTGTTTTAATTCTTCTCCCTCCTGTTTCTTCCCCCTTTCTGTTCTCCCATTAGCTAAGCCTCAGATCGTATTTCAGTGTTTCAATGGGGAGAGCTATTCATTAGTCCTTTTTTGCATTCCTGTAAAGGTGCTTTTTTTTTTGAAACAGTTCAGTATGTTTCAGTTGCTGGAGAACTGAATGCTCTAGTTAAGGTAGCCCTGAAGTGGCAGTGGTCTTCCACACTCCGGGAAGAAGCTCTTCTGAAAGTGGGAGAGCGCCAACCAGTCTTCTTCCATGAAGCATTCTTACTCTTTACAAAAATTGCCAAAACAATAATGAATGTGAAGGTGGTTGTTATAGAGGAGTTTGTCAGAGGTGAACACATTAATCGTTGCTAATGCTTCAGGAAACAAAAGGAGCATGGCTACACAGAAAACAGTTCCTCACACCAACAGAGGCTGAAGTGGAAGTGCAATAACCCATTGGAGGTGTTCTTCCATCTCTTTTTCTGAAAGTTTTGCAGAGTTTTGTGATGCATCCCTTCCCCTCAGGGTGTTTAGGGCCTGCTCACATGTGGATGATCACAGGAGCAGTTCCTACAAAGGAATTCAATCATCTAGGTTGCAAGGTTTGTGGTATTTATCAGTCATTTTCTTGTCAAAGACTAATAGGAGGTGAGCATTAGCTGGGTGTCTGGAGGAGGAAGAGCATGTTTTTGCCCTCACATGGTTCAGGTTTTGGGGGAAAAATCTCTGAACCAAAGTCTTCTCTAAGTAAATTCTGTAAGAGGTTGGAGAGGAAGGTACCTGGGGAAGAGGACGGGGTAGCAGTGCCACAAGAAGAACTGCAGGAGCAGAGTGACAATCATTATAACCACAAACAGCCAGGCTTCTTTCCTAAGGGAACTCTAACTAGAGTGGTCTTCGGCCTCATAAATACAAAAAGAATGGGAGAAGGGAGGTCAGGAGGCAGACACGGAGACTTCCGGTTTTGAGTCATGTGCAGATTATCTTCAAACAAATCCTCTGTCTCCTTTTTCAATGAAAATTATGATATCGAGCATGAACCTAAAGATGGGGCAAGGAAGCAAGGACTGAGTTCAGTAGTCTGGATCAAAGGAGTCAGGGAATTTGTTGCAGAACTTAGAAAGAACAGACCCATGAAATTGAAGCCCTCTAGGAGCAAGAACTTCCCACGTCTCCCTCTGAATTAGCAGGTTTGTTACTGAGTTACAGAAAAATTTCCTAAAAGAACTGGAGGCAGGCAGCTGTGCAGCTGTAGCCTTGTGGGTTTGACATCAGTAGTAGGCAAGGCTCTAGCAAATTTGTGAAGGGAAGAATTCATCAATAACATGAAACAAAGTAGACTGAGTCTTACCAGCATTCACTAATGATAACTCATGCCTGACTGACTGGCATTTTAGTGAGAGTAAATAACAGATACACTTTCTATGTACATGAAATATTGTAGCTCGAGTGATAGCAGATTACACAGTGCCACAAAAATAAGTAATTTTTTAAGGTGGAGATACTGGAGAAATAGTACAGGAGCTGGGACATGGGTAAGGAACAGAATGATGGCATGATCAAAATGGGATGCCTTACAAAACCATGCAATGGGAATTAACGGTGTAGGCATGGGAATTAACATCAGGGGACCTCTGGAAGAGAAAAGAGACTGTGTGATCAAGGACAAGTCACAAATGTGGTGTGATCTGGGGAGAAGGGGGCAAAAAATAGAGTACTGGAGCATAATAATATGTTTAGTGATGTATAAAAATTCTGATCCACCTTGCAGAAAAATGGATGCAGATTCTCTGATGCTTCCAAGATTGGATGAGATAGGCCTTGGGCAATCTGCTTTGGAGCAGAAGGAGGAAAAGGACTTAGAGAAGTTTGGCTATGCAGACTAACAAAATTGGGCTTTCATAAAGTAAGCCTTGTTTTGGCGGGTTGGTTTTGAGCCAGTTGGTTCACGGGTTCTGTTTGCCTGGCAGACATCTGCAGAAGACAATTACACAGGCAGAAGGAGATGACCAGCAAGGGGGTGGAAAAGAGGCTCTTGGAAGTGGCAGCCTTGGACTTCTCTTTTTGCTTGCCCTGTTTGCTCATGGTGTTTGTTTGGAGTATTAATTGAACCACTGCATTACATGCAGTCTGACATGGAGACTGTTGGAAAGGTGAAAAATAAGGAAAGAAAAGCTCTAGGTACTGTAGATGCTGTAAATACTTGTATGAAATGCTTAAAGTTATTACATTTAGAGAACACCTTTATCACAGTGGTTGCCAAGTATTTTTATAACAGCTGTCAACCTGCAAACATTTTGACAGACATTCATGTATGAACTGCCTTTTAATCCAAAGCCCAGTAAAGGCAGTATGGTTTCATAAATCTATTCTAGACATCTACCAGAGCTCAGGAGCTACCACTGGTCTGTTAACCATGTGTAGGGGAAGCACAGAAAACTGTGGGGCTCTGCACACGGTGACCTGTCCTGCTCTTCCCATGCCTTTCATAGTGATCACATATAACCAATGAAGAATGAAGCAAGTCTCAGTATTAAGGATCTCCTTACACTAAAAATGCAGTTTGAAAATATTGGGCAGAGGTATTTCACACAATGCCACCGACCATAATCAAAGTAGCTCTTAATTCTCTTAATTTTTTTTTTTTTTTTTAGAGAAAGACAGGGTGAAGAGATCAAGAAATGAGCAGACACAGAAACTGAACTATTTTCTCATTTCTACACAATTAGTCCAGGACAGGAATGGACAGCACTGATGGTGGAGAAATCTGTGATGTTTCCGTTTCCAGATGTGATTTGTGAATAAGTAACACTTTACAGCTGATGAGGAGCATGATTTCAACTTTCAAGCAATAACTTCTAGCAACTGCAATGGGGGAAAAAAGGAACTAGGGTTTCCAGGCTACGTGTCTAGATCTGGACTTCCATTCCTCAACCATGTTCTGCCATTTCCCAAAAGGAGAGAGTGCAAATGATAGAAAAAAATCAGGCACAAGTGCTCAGGAACAGGTAGAGCAAACCTACAGGATGCACGAAGGACTCCTAGGGGAGATTATTGTGGAAACTCCCAAATCACTTAACAATAAAAAAAAGCTAAATTTATTTTTATACACAATTAATCAACATTCTGCAAACATACAAACAACAGGTCCAAATGTCTATGAGAGGAGAATAAACTATCACCACACAATCTTCTGGGGTTTAACAACAACTCAAAACACCAACCAGGGGTTTAACGACAACCCAAAACGCTCAGTCACTCACCTAATAAAAGGTGAGGACTCTCAACCTCGAGGAACATCTCAGGGCAGCGTCCCAACCCGTAGGAACCCCGAGGAGTCTCCTTGGGCGGCGTCCCAACCCCAGGGGAGAGCCCTTACCTGCAGCACACTGCTCCGGGTGGGACAAGCTCCAAATGGCTCCCCCAGACTCCGTTTATACCCGAGCCGAATCTGACCTGTGGTCAATATCAGCCCCTGTTGGCCAAAGTCCCCAACTGCCGTAAAGCCCTGAGAACAAGGGCACAGGGAAGGTTCAACAGCCAGAGAACCACAATTTCATTGGGTGGGTACACCTGCCACAGACATGCCCAGACCTTCTGGGCATCATCTGACAAGTCCCACTCCAACAGGATCTTATGACCCAAATTTTAAAATTTTGTAAGGCAATGAGGTCTCCCACCTCATCTCTTAAGACACATACAGGAAAAGTGCTAACTTGCATGCCCTATCTAAACATCGCTTGTTGAACAAGTTCAGGT